TGGACTTCAGATTCCAGTTCTGCCTCTCCTGACAATGTCCTTGAGTGAGTTTCTTAACATTCCTGCATATTATAGGATAATAATTCACCCAGTAAAAATATGTTGGAACATCTTTATTAGTTAACTAATATAAAGTCTCTAAAACTGCCTCTCACAGGATTCTTAAAAAAAAAAAAATACACACACATGGAAAGAGAATTAGATTTTCAGTTTTGAGAAAATATAGAAGACCACCAGGTATCTCTTCTTTGAGAAAAGCTTTTGGGCTGCCTCACATGGGTTTTCTTCTCCTTGAATAACTGCCTCCCTACTCAAAACTTTCCCTACTCCCTACCTTACTCCTCTCCTCTCCCAGTTTCTGTGTTTCTTCCTCTAAGAAGCATTCCCTATCTCTGTTAACTTTGTTTAGATACTCCTCTCCTCCAAATGTTTTCATGACACACTAGACATTATTATTCATTACTTCCCATACGTTATTGTCATTGCCACCTTACTTCTCTATAGTCTCCAAAGGAGTGTAGTGTAGACTTTGTAAGGGAAACAGAGTTCATCTGTATCTTACTAACCACTGTGATCCTTAGCACTAACGTACTTTCAATGCATGGTGAATGGTCAGTTGATATTTATTAAATGAGTGAGTAGCATCAGCATTTAAGTTTGAATGTTTGGTATTTTAAAAGTTTATATTTGATTATTATTTTACATTTTTAGTAAGACTTAGTGGTTTAGAAGGAATTTCTTTTGAACTAGTTAACATTTTCTCATATATATTTATGGGTCACATTTCAGAACATATGTAAATAATTTTCTTGCACAAAAAATCTATAAAATGCAAGTCTGTTTTAGCAAAAGTATATGTATAAGTATTTAATTTATTAATGGGTATTTAGTATTTCAAGATAGCATTTTAAAATCAGTCCTAAATATCTTTGAAGTTGTTACTATTAGCACCTAATGTATATTCCTGGTAAATGAAACATTTAACTATTACTTACTTTCTCCTTAAATCATTTAGTGTTGTTTTATGACTTTTTGCATTTGTGGTATGTGTGACATGGTAATATCGTTGATTTTGAATGGGTTATGATATATTTTGTTATAGATAGTACTATATTATTATTTTATTAATATGTTCTGGAATTTTAAAACTATTTTTATTGTCTTTTATATACTAAAAAGAATTGGTTCTCAGTAAAATAAACTTCTGTAGTAAAGGTTCTGATTTATAGGCAAAATGTACATAAAGCACTTATTTGACATCTGATTTCCTTTTTTTTAATTAATTGATTTTTTAATGTTTATCTTTGAGAGAGACAGAGATAGAGTGTGAATTGGGGGAGGGACATAGAATCCGAAGCAGGCTCCAGGCTCCTAGCTGTCAGCACAGAGCCCGCTGTGGGGCTTGAACCCGTAAACTGTGAAATCATGACCTGAGCCAGTCGGATGCTCAACAGACTGAGCCACCCAGGCACCCCACCATTTGGTTTTCTTAAATTACTTAAACTTGTTCATATAAAGGATTTAAAGTTGATATTTTGAAATTTGTTATTCATAGTGATTCTGAAGATGGGGAGAACGAAAATGAAAAATCTAGAACTTCAGATTCTTCCAATGCTGATTCTAGTTCAGTAGAAGAAAGTTCTTCAGATTCTGAATCAGAATCAGAATCTGAAAGTGAATCTGAATCCAGAAAAGTCACTAAGGTAAGAAAGAGATTGCACATTTATTATAATTGAAAGTAAGTACTCTCATAGCCTTTTTCCAGTTAAAATTAAGTATTTCTGAAAAATAGTGTTTTGTTGAAAATCAAGAAACTGAGAAAGAAATGTCACATTATCACTGACAACTGAAATCAGTACCATCTTCGTTCATTCACACCTATGATTTTATTTATTTTTTTATTAGATAATTGCTTCCTTTTTAACTCAGCTTTACAGAGGAGTTAGGAACTTTTAACTGCATCCTTTGCCACTCTAATTACAGAGCTCAATGTTACGAGTTATGGCCTTTTTGTTCTGAACTAGAATGTGATAATAGAGGCTTTCGTGAAGGGGAAAGTAAAAGAAAGTCACGGAAATAGTATTGAGCAAGGTGATCTAAATATACATACACTGTAAGAAAATGAGGCAAATAATGCTTTTTAAAAATAGATGTCAAGGGTAATAGAATACTTTTAAAGGTTTAATTAAAGGATATACATTCTTTAGTTAAAAAATGCAGTAGCCATGTATTTAAAAACATGTGCAGGAATGACTTATGCAATAGAATGGTAATGGTTTCTGATTAACATTTGTAACACGGAAACTTGTCTGCTTAGCAACAGAAAGTGAAAGTATAAATTGAGGGGTGCCTGGCTGGCTCAGTCAATAGAGCATGTGACTCTTGATTTCCGGGTTATGAGTTCGAGCCCGAAGTCGGGTGTGGAGATTACTTAAAAATAAAATTTTTAAAAAAGTATAAATTGAAAATTGTAATTATTTATATTAATTTCAGACTTTATACATAGCTTTCTGATCTTTAATTATTATTCCCTTTTCTATAAAAAGGGATATCCTTTTCTATAAATGGATAATGTTGATCCTAGGCTTCAAATGTAGTAGTTTTTATAAGTATACTATACTATTCCTTATGTTGAATATGTGGTCAAACTTTGTCTTTTATTGAATTCCGTTTTTTTAACCTAATATTTTTCTCATTTATTTTTTCTATTAACTTGAATTTCTTTAATAAGTCATCTGAGTAGCCAAGGATAAAAATAAATTCATTGAAGTAGATAATTGCCTTCTCCCTTCCAGAGATTTATTATTAAAGAATAAGCATATTAAAAATTGGCTAGTTTTTGTCTTACCTTATTGCAAATATTCTTGCATAAAGTTAAACCTATTGTAAACGTGAATTTATTGAGGCACCTGGGTGGCTCAGTTGGTTAAGCATACGACTTCAGTTCAGGGCATGATCTCATAGCTCGTGGGTTCGAGCCCCATGTTGGGCTCTGTGCCGACTGCCAGCTCAAAGTCTGGAGCCTGTTTCAGATTCTGTATCTCCCTCTCTCTCTGACCCTACCCTGCTCACGCTGTCTCTCTCATAAATAAATAAAACATTAAAAAAATTTAAAAAATAAAATAAAATAAATGTGAATTTATGTTTAAAACTTGTGTCTATTTGTAGTATATAATCTAAGATTCCATTTTCCAAAAATTCACGTAAAATCTTTGAGATTTTAATGTTTGTTACACTGGCCTCATATAAAAATTTATCAATAGTGAGTTTGATTTCCTCCCATTTCTTATATTAAATTACTTAAATTGTTCATTTCATATTTGTATATTTTAAAGTTTAAGATGTTATTTAAAATAAAGGAGATTTAGGGGCACCTGGGTTGGCTTAGTCGGTTAAGCGTCCGACTTTCGCTTAGGTCATGATCTTGCGGTTCGTGGGTTCGAGCCCCGCATCAGGCTCTGTGCTGACTGCCAGCTCAGAGCCTGGAGCCTATTTCATTCTGTGACTCCTTCTCTCTCTGACCCTCCCCTGCTCACGCTGTCTGTCTCTCTCTCTCCTAAAAATAAATAAAACATTAAAAAAATTAAAAAAAAAATAAATAAAATAAAGGAGATTTAGAAATTGACAGTAAGTACAACCCAGAATAAGGAATCAGTGTTTTAAAAAAATGAGCAAACAAGAATTCAATGAATATCAAATGGGTAGAATTAAAGTACATTATTCTTATGAAGTTTTATAAAAGTTAAAAAATTATAGACTTTAGTATGTACATACTATTAGAAGTGGAGTTTTAGGACCGCATTAAAAAGCCACAGAGGGACGGGTGCCTGGGTGGCTCAGTCAATTAAATGTCCAAGTCTTGATCTCATATTGTGAGTTCAATCCCCACGTTGAGCTCTGTGCGGACAGTGTGGAGCCTACTTGGGGTACTCTATCTCACTGTTTCTCAGATAAATAAACATTTTTTAAAAATTAAAAAAAAAAAAGCCGCAGAAGTATCCCAGGTTAGCAATTCAGTTTGTTTCTGTGTCAAATACTTTTAGTGATCAGATTAAGTCTCTTAATAATTGAAAATATTTTCCCGTAGAACATCAGTATAAAAGTTGAAAGTATTGCAATGAGCTAAGAATCTTGAAAAATTCAAATTTTACTCACATCTTTGATAGTTTTATGTCCATGTGTTTTGTGTATGTGGCTTATTTTCTCCATATTTAATGTCGTTTGCTGTCTATAATAGACAGGATTGTTTGTTTTAATTTTCTGTTGGAATAGTCTCCACCTTGGAGCCACAATAACTATTTTTTACTATTTGTAAGTAATTTGGAATATACCATGCAATTACAAGTATACCAATTTTCTGATAATGGGCAACTCTGTAATTGTGGAAGTCCTCCTTAGACCAAGTGTTGTGGCTTCTGGTCTAGATTATGAGTAATGAAGGCAGATGGTGGGTGCTTTACCTTAATTTAGTTTGTCAGTTTGTTAGTGCTGAAAATTCATATGCCTTAAATCTGTAGCTAGACTAAATCTATACTTTTACTGTTTCTCTTCTTTTTCTTTCACTTGGATAGTGTGTTTTGGGAATATTGAGCATGAAAGTGAGGCCTTGGAGGTTTAGATATATAAATATAATATATATATTATACTTATATATATTATATTTATATACATTATATATTATATTTATATATATTATATATATATTCAAGCTATAACTTGAATATATAGCTTTGAAAACATTTTATTTTATGGTGTCATGTGAGATAGGTATAGTGTTCTACTTTTTGGAAGATAATATCTTTATGCTTCAGTTTCCTCATCTATAAAGCAGAAATGCTAATTACTACTCTACTACTTTCAAGTGCTGTTATAAAAAAATCAAGTATGAAAGATCAATAATACTATAAAAATATAAAACAGCAGTGTTAACTTTTTTTTAATGTGAATGAACGTTAATTCCCTGCGAGACCAAAAATACTTGAGTTATAGAACACCAGTGCAGAAAGGAATTGAATTTTTTTTTTAACTCTTAATGTCTCCTCTGGTTCTGACTTTTTATACCATTCAGGTTGTAAGTTAATGTCCAGGTATGACCCCTTTCTGCAGAAGACTGAGCTGCCATCCACTGTGGACATCTCCTAACTCTCTGCTATCCATTATACAATCTCTGTTTACCCTCCTTTTCCTTTGAATGTAGCTCTGAGTAAGCGATTCCTACTCACTTAGCCAGGAAAAAGACTTAATTACTTTTGACCTTGATTTGTTGATAATCATCTGCCTCCTTTGCATTTTTAATCTTTCTCCACTAATTAATTCGTCCTCTGCCAACCAAAGTACTCAACTCTTCCCTGGCATTTGGGGGATGAGGAAGTAGGGAGAGCAAGAGAGAGAGTGTGTGAGAGTGAGAATTTAGAAAAATAATCTAGGTAGTCTTCGTCCACAACCTCTTAACCCAATTATTTCTTAGTCCCTTCTAACTTGGTTTCTATTCTTATCATCTACAGATACTGCTCTCAGAAAAGTCAGCCACTGTCTTTCCCCAAACTCAGTGACCTTTTCTTGTTTATTATTATTCTTGATCTTTTTCTGTGACTATTCCCCACTACTTTAAACTCTTTGCATTCCCCTTCTTCTGAATTCCTTGATCTTTCAGTCCTTTGATTGCTTCACTTTTTAACTCCTTTGACATCCAAGTGTGAACATTACCCCAAGGTTAGTGCTTGGTGCACATCATTTTTTCAAAAATATTAATCATTGTGAATCAATTTATTTTTAGTCTTTTTGTCTACGTTTTTCATGTTGTGAGATTCATTCACTCCCATGGCTTCAGCTAAAGCATTTATGTGAAATACTTCTGTAATAACATCTCTAAATCCCTATAACAGCTCTAACTTTTCTTTCCAAATTCAAACCAGATTTTTAGACCTTTTAGGAGTTACTGACTTCCCAACCTAATATAGCCAGAAGAGGACTTGCTCTACCATTTAGTACTTTTTCCCAGATCTGTAGCCCCAGAATTTGTCTTTGACTCTTCCTGTATGTTTACACAGTTGCCAAGTCTTAGAGAGAGTCTCTGTATTATTTCTCATATCTATTTTTTCCTTTCCTACTACACCATACTAGATCAGCCCTTCATTACTTTACTCCTAGACCATTGCCGTTGATCATCCTCAAGACACTTACTTGCCCAACCCAGTCCTTCTGTATAGCTGCCAAATTAATGTTAAGGTTACCCATAATGGTGCTGCATTATCATCTTGGTTCAGTAAAAACTCTGCAGGTTAACACGTCTAAACCTACCTTTCCAGTCTCAATTGCCTTTGTGGTTCCTCTGTACTAATCCCAAGAGACTACATTATTTGTAGTTCTCTTAACACACTCTATGCTTTCCCATTTCTGTGCCTTTGTTTTTCCTTTTGCACTGTTTCTCTTATTACAGAAAATATAAGCTGAGGAGAAAGTGGACTTATATCAAAAAGGGGTCCTTCCACTTCTCCTAGTTGGGAATGACTGCATGGAATGAAAGATGTTACTGGTGAGAAAATATTACCCCTGTGCATGGTGTAAAGATAGTCAAAAGAGTGAGAACCACTGCTGAATTGTTTATGTTCTTGAAGTGTTTGTCATTGAACACTGTGCCACCACATATCCATAAAATGTAAAACTATATAGTCATACATTCTGGTATTATGTTTGTTACTGA